TATGGACAAATGATTATCCGTCTATTCCCACGAATTTTACTTGGATCCACATGCTCACGTCTTCCCGGCTCTACATTCCCCTCATTTAGGTGGGGGATTTCGTTTGCTGCCACGTGCGTTTTCGTATTTTGGTTTAATCCTTATACATAGCTAGAGCATTTTCCATTTTCTTAGCTCTAGATAATTTTCGAAGCCACTTCTTTTCAGAGAGGTTGGTCAACCCTGGGTCACAATCGTTCATAGTAACAGAGGTCTTGTGTGGTCTTTCTGAATTCTTACTTTAGGATGTTTCGTGCATTGATTTTGCTACAAATCAGGACGGGAACCCGAATCTTAAAGGGAACTTGGGGTGGAATAAAATACAATGGACACAGAGTTTCACAGACAGCATATCCTATTTCATTTTATAACTCTGTTTGGAATTACAACTCTAAATCCGTTACATGTAGCTACGTCAAAAAAGGACTTTGGAGGAAAACTGGAGGTGATGGATCTTATTGCCACCAGGCTGTGGTGCACTTACATTAGGCCTTCTATTTGGACCTCATGGCTGTATTACTACAGATATCGAGTAGGCGGGTTCATAGTTCCTGCGCTCTGACGTAGAATTGTGCGTCGGAACGCACAAACTATGACCCGCCTACTTGGTCTCTGCAGTAATCTACGTTAAAACGAAGATCTGTGAATGCGCCCAGCTCCCTTGTTTGTCTTTCGCATCTATAATTTTGTTTTTGTTTTGTGGCAGCGAACTTATACAAACGTGGCAGTGCTTTTCATGCAAAAATCGTTAGTATTAGACTTGAAAAGTGTTCACATTGCTACCGTGCCTATTCAGGTTAGGAGTACTATCAAGTTGTGCCTTACCCAGCTTGGTCCGCCCAAAGATGTCGGAAGTCGAGAAGGCGCAGACGGCTGTTCGTGAAAATGACACCATCTTTGGAAAGATTATCCGAAAGGAGATACCAGCGAAAATCATATATGAGGATGATGATGTAGGTGATTCTGGGTTTGTAAGGGAATAATGGCCATGTTTCATGGGTGCACCTTCTTTATCTCTTTCATAATCATTTAAAGTGGTTTATTTTAGTGCTCTGAAAGAGCAATCCATAGTTAATGAAGTAACGATTTAGTCGAGGCAGCGTTTTTACTCGACTACAAATTTGTTGTTTTATACTACTTGTACTGGGAAAAGTATTCAGTAATCCACCATTTTGTCGTGTTCTCTCAACTCCTAGATGTACAGAACAAAATTATTTCTCTTCTTTTTTAGGTTCTAGCATTTCATGATGTCAGTCCCCAGGCTCCTGTGCATTTCCTCGTGATACCGAAGAAACGGATCGCAATGCTGCAAGAGGCCGAAGATTCGGTAATCTTTTGTTCTCCTGCTTTTTCGATAGAAGCAGATCCGCTTTCATGATCGATGCATCGTTAAATTGGAATATCGCGAAGGAATTGAAGCTTGAGATCTAGTATTGTTTTTGCGTTGATTTACCGACTAAAATTAATTTGATATTGTAGACGATCACCCTATTTCAGGACCAGGCTCTTCTGGGAAAGCTCATGCTGACCGCCGCTAAGGTACTTCTTTTTTTATCACCGTTCTTTGCGTTAGTGGCCCCAGCCGATGATTTCTCAAAGTTACCCTTTCTACCCCTATAATTATTAGTTCTTGTTTACAAACCTGAAAAATCACTTTTAGGTTGCTCGCGACCTAGGACTTGAAAAAGGTTACAGAGTTGTTGTTAATAACGGGCCTGATGGCTGTCAAAGTGTGTTCCATCTGCACCTTCACGTTCTCGGTGGGCGCCAGCTTGGATGGCCTCCAGGATAAGAACACATCTTGATTTTTTCGGCTTATTAGTAGCTGTTCTTCGACTAATATATTATTTCCTTGAATTTATTTAATGACACTATTGCTTGATGTACCGGTATAAATGTTTGCTTATCTCTTAGTATTATGTGAACGAAGAAGGCTAGTAATCATTGATCTTTCGCAGCATTGATGTGATAAGAGAATGAATCACTCTCCGTTCTTGTCAGAACGACTCATCTCTTTGTGGTTTCATTCTCATACGGAATTTATCGTTATAGAGTTTGAGGTTACTATTCTATGTGTACTTCTATCATAGATGTGATTCGTGCATGGCATATCCTTGAAGCAGGCATACCTCAATTGTTCGAGGAAATCACGAAATCTAAGTAAGCTCAGTTCAAATGACCAGAATGACCAAATGATCAATAAAGGGAACTATAGTACCATGAAGGCACGTTCGTCATAATGTTGGGGCATTAAGTGGTTCCTTTCGTTCCATGCTCAAACGTATAGTGTCAAAAATCGTTGCCTAAAAAGTTGAATAAGAGTCCCAGTTCGCTCACCGCGCGCGGCAATTCCTAGTTAGCTAGTTGTCTTGCCGCGTGCTACGCCGTTCGTAAGTTCCAAATGTCACTTTGGTCAAAAAATATTGACGGGAAATATGTATGATGCAAGCCGTTTTTTTAAGTTGCATCAACGCAATGTCGGACAGAATAGCTATGCAGCAGAACATTTCGTTTTTCGATTTCAATCTATCTAAAGATGCACCGATTCAAAGTTGAGCATTGGCTAGTGGATCAGCTACCTATTCATTTTTTCATTTTTATCGGTGGAAGCGATTAGTCACTCCTGTGGTTCTCCTCTCACTCACTGCAGTTCTACTCCTTCGGAACAAAGTTATCGAAAAGTAAAACGAGGAAAGATGTGTAGCTGTTTAGGTTGTGGAAATCACAGACGCCACCGCTCCCATATTGAGGACATGTCGGAAATAGAAAGAGCTAGTAGCGCCGTACGTGAAGAAGACACTGTCTTCGGAAGAATCATTCGAAGAGAGATACCGGCGAAAATCCTGTATGAAGATGAAGAGGTACATTTTATTGATTGCACACTCAAGCCGTAGCTATTGTGAGGATTTCTCTCTAGAATGTGCTACGTCAATAAACTCTTTCGAGACTCGTACTGGCTCGTGTTTATTGCGCTATAGCCTTCAGATTAACCTGTGATCACCAGATTATGCAGAAGTCAATGTTATTGAACTTGTAGGGTTGAACTGTTCTGCCCTAGAGATTTTGGTAGTCTCACTCTCCTCGACTAGAATGCAAAGTCTTGACCTTCGGAGATGACTACTCAGTTTTCTTAATGATCCACGCCTTCTTTAAATAAATGGATTGGGTGAAGATAGCCTCTTGCGGAAATAACTGGAAAGTAGAGCCAAAACCGTGAGTAAATCGATAATTTTTCTTTCAGGTTATGGCATTTAATGATATCAGTCCACAGGCTCCGGTGCATTTTCTGGTTATACCGAAAAAACGAATCCCAATGCTGCAAGAAGCTGAGGACCAGGTAGATACTTTTTGTACAGTCTATTTCACCAGCCCCTAAAAAGTCCGACACTGCTTTAGCGAGCATGGTAACGCCCTTCTGATATACTGGTCTTGATTCCTTTGAAAAATTAGTCAGTCATGCTAGGATTTAGGTTGAATAGATATTATGATGAACAGTTATATTACCATTATTATTTCTACGGCTCAAAGAATAGANTAGCATTCCATGATTATCAGTTCCGAAAATTCCGGAGACGGTGTCAGGGCGAAAAAACCTACCGCCTTAATAAGGACGCTGACGCAGGTCGTCAGCCTCCTTGTTAGGCCGGTATATTTTTTACTCTTCAAAGTCTAAGGGTTAAAGTATTGAGGCGTTAACCAATCCCGTCAGAAGAACGCGTCCATGCACTCGATTTTCCTTCAGAATCGTGATGGCGTATTGAATGCGTATGTGGACTATACAATGACCTGAATTGGCCGGCCCATGTACATGTCAGTGCTTTTATCGTCCCAGACAAGTCTGGTACCAATTAATCGACCCCGTAGGAGTGAAAGGGTTGGCCGAGGCGAATCCCGCCCCAGGATTCGACCCCGCAACCATGTGTGTCAGAGAGTGTGCCATTTGTCACAACACTACTTCCGCCTCCACGAAAAAGTAAAATGTACACAGTTACGTTAACAACCAGTTACCAATGCATTTTTTAGGACCAACTCCTCTTTGGGAAACTTATGCTAACAGCTGCTAAGGTATGTCCTTCTAAGCCCTCTTGTGTTCACACGTCTTTTTGGAGAGCTCTTGGTAAAATCTTCATGAATTCAGCAAAGTTAAGATTGCTCGTGACCTACGACTCAAGGATGGCTATCGTATTGTACTGAACAATGGCCGCGATGCTTGTCAAAGTGTTTTGCATCTTCACCTCCATGTACTCGGCGGAAGACAGCTGGCATGGCCTCCAGGGTTCAAGTATGTGGGACGAGTCAAAACTTCAGTTTTGTAGGAGGCGTTATTACTATGAGATGGACGTCATCTATGAAATCATGGTAGTACCGCCTTCTATGGAAGGGCATTGCATATCGAACAGACATCAATCAGAAGGTTATCCAGCTCAAAAAATCAGCCATTACTTACTGCGAGGACTTTAATGTCAAAGGCACGGTTTACGACAATTTCCGGGGTATCTAATTCTAGAAGAACAATGTAACAGATAGAAAAAACATAATGCTTCAAAAAGTAGTAAATCAGGGGTTGAAGGAGAATGTGATGGAAAAAGTTGCAGTAAGTAAGTAGGCTTCAAAGGCTACAGTACAGCTACAGTAAGCTGCTTTTGTGCAATGTGTTCGTCCGTGTTCGAGTGCTATAACCTTTACAGCTAACACCTGAGAACTCATCCCCTATAGCTTGTACCTCGGCTAAGCCAGCTTTGGAGCCCTTGCTATGTCCTATGCATTTTCCCAACTGACAGTCTCTTGTGCTGGGTCAGAGGTCCATCTCAAACAGAAACCCCAGGAATCATTTTTATCGCGAAGTGTGCCTTTGAGTACCATTATTATTGTACTGATGTTGTTTCTGTTACTTGTATTATGATTTTGCATCCGTATACGAAAAGCTTGTGTAAATTGTTGAATAAGAGTTATAAAAGAGAACTACTCTTCCCCGAACACTCCGAATGGAATGGGATGTGGGAATGGCATCTGTGGAGCAAGCAGATGTCTCTGAAACAAGCTGATGCTTATGTCCCCAGAACCCTAAAGAAAAAAGAATTTCAGTTTCAGGACGTCAGTGAGCTGTTATTAGGATAATGACGTTCACCTGTCGTCACATTATCGGCTTGAATAGCTTCAAATTCAAGGTCTCATGTATTACAATTGCTCGCATCGCCTACCTTCAAGAGCAGTTGAATGAATTTGAATCTGACGGTTACTCAGTTAACCACTAGAGTGAGTAATTAATCTATTCATAAGGAAAGAATCTTCGGCCGAAATAGAATGGTGCGCAACTTCTATCTCAGTCAGAAATGACTGATTGCTATTTTAGCCTAGTGGTTAGAAGGATGGCCCGGTGCATGGTCCCATACTTCCTTATTTGGCCTACGGTTTTCTCTTCGACGTCAAACGCGACCGTCTTAATAAGGCAGCAAGGCGATTAGTAACTTGAACTGAAGGAATCGCTGCTAAGTAGACCTGTTCCTTGGTTGATGAGGCTTACAGAGTGCGGTATAAGCCCTCTAAGAACTGTCGATTATGTTGCCGTATTTCGGAAAAACCTCTGTAATTACACAGCAAATCCTCGAGGAAGTCCTTGAATCGGCTAGTGAAAGTTAGAGATGTATTCTACCCATTTTCCGACCCACTGTGCAGACTTGCGAGTTTTTTTCTCCGCTCGAAATGGCTGTAGCGATCTGGTACATCCATTAACCGTTACTGTACTATATACACTAGCTAATAGATTAATCATCATATTATAACTATGATACGACATCTCTGAGACCACTGAAATGAGAGCCAAGCCTTGAAGAAGCCGTTCAGCACCAGGTTTCAGCACTGGGGAAGGTGAAAGACATTCCTCCGAAGAAGTAGATGGGGATGAAAAGAGCAAGAAGAGGAAACGTAAGAAGCAAACTGTAAACTCGATGGGTGCGACAAAAAGTTGTCACAGTGTCACGGCCGTGTCAAGTTTATTGTAAGGAACGAACCAAAACCGTACTACAACCCTAATCAATCATCATCATCAGGATCGACACATTTCTGCCAGTTTCTTAGCTTCAAATTGATACAACATTAATGGAACTCATCATTCTACGACTAGAACCAACCAGTCAAGCCAATTTTCGAAGTCATTCATCATCACAGAATTTTCCCCTTGGTTGAAAAGTTCTCCACGAGAACTCAAGATGGTCGAGTAAATGGGTGGTCGAAGGGCTCCCAGCCCATACCGTTTGATCAGTTGTCGATCAAACGCCAAGTGTGAGGCTTGGTTTTGCCTTTGTACCAGTAAACTAGGCTCAATTGCTCCCGAGCTGCTACCGACTGAGACATTGCCATGCCGTATTCTGCAGGTGTAGTCAAGCATACAAGAGTAAAAAAACAATCTGCTCAGTCTGTTACAGAAAATATTCTTTTTTCAAGACTCGTGGGTGGACTCTTTCCACCTGGAGATTCGAAAATTGCTGACAAACAAAGAATAAACACTTCTTGATAGTTTCAGGGTGTAGTGCCTGTAAAGTTCCTACCATCGCAATCACCACAACAGTATTTTGGTTCAACCTGCACAGTACAAAAAGAAATGGAAGTTTGTAATATTTATTGATCGTATTTACACATAATAATCACAGAAATCTAAGAGAAACTGATATAATTTATATGATTCGAGTTAAAAAAGTAATTTTTTTCATTTTCTCGATATTCTGGATGCCCTAACAACAAGGCTACCATGGTTACAGCTATAGGTGATCTGGAAATCGGCCTTAAAAACATGCGCACGATTTTCATTATTGGGAAAATAGGGGCGTGGCTAAACACACCGTATGGAACCGTAATTACACCAATTAGAGGGAGACCAGCCAAGCCAAAGAACGTAGCGAGTTTTAGAAAAATGACTTCAGAGGTCATAGAAATCTTGGCGTGTTGCCAATTTTGAAGTACTAGTAACAATCAGCATCGTTACTCAAGGTTTCAATCATCACTACAGCGAATCCACTTGTCGTATAACGATTTTGTGATAGGGCTGACACATCACCGCAATTGACACCAACGAGACCTGAAAAGTTGTAAAAATTAGCTAATTTTGGTGAAATCCAATAAGTTTTTTATAAGTCCAGTATTTTCTGCTCAGAATTCGATTCAGATGGAATTTCATAATTGATGCTGCTCAAGCTCAAAAGCTACTGCTTGTTCAGGAAGTTTTTAACAGACAGGAAGAATATTCGCTCTATTCGTACACATGTCAGAATGCGCCCACGCACAAATTTTTCGCGAAAATCCAAGGAATAATCAAGTCCGATATTTAGTTTCCAAAATTTTAAAAGCATACTATACCAAGACTCATACCTCAGATGGAATCTGTGCTTCGCCTTCGGGTGCCGTCAAAAAGAGTGCGTAGTCACCCTCAGGTTCTTTCCTGTTCATACTCAGCACAATGGCGATCGCTTCACGGCACGACGTCTCCTCAGCCAATAGCAATGATTTGTAGTTAGACTGAAAAATCGATTGATATAACTGGAATATTGCCAAAGATATTTGAGAAATGCTACGTCTTTTTGAAGTTCGAAGTTAAAGATTGGATGCCCGTAACGGGTGAGAAAAAGTAGCAGCAATTAGGGGCGAACCGCGAGACAATGAATGAACAATCTGCTGGTTGAAAACAGTCCAGGAAAAAACCCCAGTTAAAAAAGAAAAATTATCGTCTCACAAATTAGATAGATATTACAAAACGTTACAGTATTGAATTCAACGCTACTATTTTACTATGTTTTTGTATGTTGTATGTTTGTATGTTTTTGTAACTCAGCAGAATTGTAAAATTGACTATGTTTCAGATAGAGAGCAACCCCTTTCTTCATGTTTGTAAAGCTCTATAAGAGGAACTTCCACGTATACTCCCGATCCTCTCCCGAATCTTGCCTTCCAACCTGTAACCTCCCAGAAATCCCCGATAACCTTCCTTGTTTACCCAACGTCGGCAGCGGTTAATCCCTCTCGAAACCTCATGTCGTATCATTATCGGAGATCATCCAAAAACCTCAACATCACAGGATTTACTACCAATTGGAGACCGGTTTCGGGACTGTGGATGAAAGGTTGCCGCTATATAAACGATCCAAACAAATATTTACATCATTTTAGTACGCCGGTTAGTAGTGAACATCAGAAATAATCGACTTAATTAATAAGTTCACCCTAGGAAAGTGCAGTATCAATTGAGATCGAAGTCGTTCGAAAAACGTTCCAAAAACGACTCGAAGTGACTAGCGCTCACGAAGCGTGATAGTTCATAGCAAACATTTCGCCTTTATCCAAGTGAATATCGAATAAGTAAGAATCTGCAGCAAAGAAGTTCAATCTGTCCATCAATGAGGCCATTCAGAAGTCCAGAAATTCTTCGAATTTCGGAATTCCTGACCGTCCCGAAGACTACTACTAATCCCCGAAATATTGCCATCCAAAATTTAATTCTACAAAATTTCAGTTTCAGAAACATTCACTCCACTGTCTTTCCCGGTATAGCAGCCCTTCGATATCACTTACATGGGGACATCACCGTTAGCAAACTAGACAAACCCCACTGTTCTTCAACGATCGTTTTAGCGACAACTGGAATACCTATTAGGATTCAAGGTAATAGTGGTAAACACCGTTTGAAGCAGTGAAAGCTCCCCTAACTATCGTGCAATCGGACCGGTTTTCCTGGGATTTTCTGATACTCGAAACTCGGCTACATTTGAGCGCATTTTCTTCGCGATCAGTTCCATTCGCTGAAGAAAAATGCTGATTACTCTGTTTGTTGTTTGTATGACTACTGTCAAACCGCTGTTGACATTGGAAAAGCTGGAACCGTAATTAGAATGCCAGTCACACTCCGTTCGGTGATGTAATAAGCAATGACTGAATGGAGAACGTTCCGGAAAGTTCGTAAGAGAGACATTTGTGAAGCACTTGCTTCATCATGGTCTAACTATTGAGGATGCAATAATATTGGAGGTTTCTACATGGAAATAGTCTTTCTTTCAATAGTTATTTACTTGTCAGTAGACGATGCATGGCTACAGTGGGAAGACGTTTTCCTTAAAGGAAGACATATTACATCGAGGAAAAACATCAGCTCAGAAAAAGAAGCACTCAAACACAAACTTTGCGACAGCGATGGAGGTAGGATTAATGATGCCAAGTGACGCATTACCAGCAACATTATCTGGAGATCGAACCCTGCACCTCTCCAAAGCCAATGAAATCTTTCAGTTTTTCTGCGTCGGCTATTCGGTACTTAAGCCCCTTCAGTAGTACACAAACACTGACTTGTTCATATGCTGACGGGTTTCCAAGATGCCTTCACTAGGCGCGTAGGGTGGTCCACATATGTTACTGATTTCACTTGGTTCCGCTCCAATTCTGTCAATAATTATCTGCATCTAGACGTATTGAGATTATAAGAGACGCATTCCTCCAAAACAAAGCCGCAAAAAAAANNNNAAAAAAAAACGGTAGCAACAGTGGCAATCAAAGACGGATTCCTTTAGTCGGGTACCTCATATTGTCGGAGACGAGCTAACTTTCCAAAAGGGAAGTGTTCAAAAAGTCGCTCAGATAATTTGTAGGATGTGATCGGAAAACTGTCCTCGAAAGGATGGCATTCGATCGCCTTCACTGATTTTCGGTGTTTATCAGTCAACTGACCAAGGTCTGACCCCCTTACACTGCCAACTCCTCTTTGAACTCATAGCATGAGCATGCGAGGTATTCGCAGCTTTTCTGTTAATTAAAACCAGGTTGATAGGTGGAACTCTTCAATGTTGTCGTGACATTTCGATCATACCGTATTCTTTAACCCTTTGACGACAATGGCACCCACCGGTGGGTGCCATTATAACTGGCACATGGGACATTGCCACCCAATTTTGGGAGCCACCATGTTTTCTTGTTTCTTATCAATTGCTGAATTCAGTAAGCCAGTAAGAGAAGTTTGTCCTGGGACAGTGCCACCCATCGGTGGATGCCAGTCGAGCGCGAAAGTAAGGGAGCGTGGTCCCATGGGCGCGTCACGTCGAAATCCGCATTGTCGTCAAAGGGTTAAAAGGCCAGTTCACCGCTTTCGGGCAGATGTTAGTTGCGCAGCAATGGTAGAGGCAAGCATCGACGGAAAAGTAAGGTGCTCCAATGATCTCAGGAACTTCCATAAGTATCTCTCTCTAATGTTCCCACTGCGTTGCTCTATCCTCGTCAGCCAAAGTCAAGAGTGTTCATAATCACGATCTCATGGATGTGGTCGCTCTCGAAGCCGAAGACTCGAGACTGCCTTTATAACACAGGTCTATCTGCACCAGAAATTTCCGTTCCACTCAGCACTACCATCCTCCCATCGTCATTCTCATTTTTTTCTCGTTTTCCCCTCCTCTTTACCATGGAGATAAAGCAGGTGTCGCAGATTCCACCAGCTACAGGGGAGTAGCATTTCGTCATTTAAAAGAGGAAAGGGTCCCATTCACAAAAGGTAGAGAGTCCAGAAGTGAGGGCATTCATAACTCCATGGATATGAGAGAGACAAAGAGCATTCCAAGCGAAAATACTGGCAAGGCCATTTTCCGCGGCGCTATACTTAGCCGTATTTCCTGCTTTTCTTACTCTGCCACTCCAGCTTTTTTTGAGCCTTCTCAAATCTTGTTTCTAAAGTTCTTCGCCTTGGTATTTCCCTACTGGTTGTGACATGCAATGAAAACCTTTTCTTTCATTTCTACTTTTCAAACATCCAAGCGTGCTTGCACGAAGTTTTTACTGACCCATTGGACGTCGCCGCGACGACCAACTTCCGGTCAGGAGCCACGCTGCGGGCGGCATGGTGTAATGATAGCCGGATCGCATCTATGCCATCATCCACTTTAACGACATCTCATACGAACCGTGTCGGAACACCTGTTTTTTAACGGAGAGTTTCAGAAACCTCACCGGCCGAAAAGAAGACTAGGATAGCAACTACAAAACCACATATTTCCAGGTTTCCTTCACAGAAACTTGGTTTTTATACCTGTTTATTAGGCAATCACGGCATAGCAGTAGTACATACGGAAAAACCAGCATCTATGCTAGGGATGCGCCACTCATTCAACTTCTGTGTGGAACCGTGGACAGATTGAATGCTCCCTTGTTCTGAACTAAGGCTTGCGGTAGCGTGTTGTCTTGTCTTTTCAATCGAATCCTCTTGGCGGATTCGACACCAAAAGGGTGGAAGACCCAGCCAGATTGAACGTATGCAAAACTACAAAGCCTTAGTATGGAAACCAACAACTCTAGCTGCTACATCATTCTTACTTAGTTGATGACAAGTCCAGGGCGAGAATTTCGAGAAGAAATCTCCAGAATATTAGCCGTAGTGAGTAAGTCTGTAGGATAATATGGCATGTGCCCAATAAAAAAAAACGTCAGCAGGTTATATAGCTTTTAAGACCCTTTTTCTGCAGGTAAACTCGTTTGTTATTTGCTTGTTCAGGCTCCTATCCCCGTTTGAACACTACCACCGCCAGCTTACTACGCTGAATCTCAATTTCACAAATCCATTCATTCATGACCCAACCAGTAGGCTATGTGAGCCTGTACGACCTGTTCTTACCCCTCTGTCTACGAACGGCGGATCGAGCAGCTTAAGGCGATTAGCCGCGATCAGATCGTCATCCATCAATGCTGCAATCGGAAAAGCCCTACGAAAAACGCCACTGACCATCATTGCGAATGAACAGAAAACCACGGCGTTACCGCTGCATAGCGGAGACTTTGCGGTTACGCGGTTGACATGATGTCAGTTTGGAGGACGACAACATCGGCAGACATCGGAGCGATTTCAAACTGACTCCAATAAAGAACGAACTTCCCAGTTCAGCAAAGGGGGGTGAGTGCAATGGAATGGGCGATGATAAAAGGACGTTTCCAGAGGACGTCACAAGCAATTTATGACCCATTAGTATAATGAATAGCTAAAAAGTAAACCACTTGAAACTCTTCAAGAATGTTTATCACGCTAACAGGTGTGACTTGGGAGGCACCATAAATTTCTACTTGAATCGTGGCGAAACTGCAAAAAGGTGCCACTTGCTGCGGTCCCACCTTGGAATTTAGGAAACTATTAAATTATTATTTGTAGTTCCTACATTTCATTGTGAGCTCGCTGAATAATATCGAACTTTAGATGAACCCGAACGCGAAAATACTGTAAATTATCTGGGTATATGGTACTCCCACTAATTTGGATTATCAGATTTTCTCAGCAAAGAGCCGCCTCATCTAAAAAAAAACTACTAAATGGCGATTTTTTGAAAACTTAATTGGATATTCCGAAATATGCGGAACAAATTCATCATTCAATCTTTTTTCCCTTACCGTTCCCACCATCAAGTTCTGTCCGGTCGTACGCCCCCATAAATCCTATTTACTTCCTCATAGATCAATGTCCGTTAATGGCGAAAGTGAACTTCATAAGGAGAAACTCGCTCAACCGACCGAAAAACCGCGACGCCGATCACTCACGCGGATTATTTGCATTTAGTACGTAGCCACCTCAATAGAACCGTAGCGTGAGTAGCGGACACGGTGGGGTGCTCCGTTGACGGGCGAAAGGCACACGCCAATTTCTCACCGAAAAGCTGTCATCGGGTGAAATTACAAACAAATAGAGCGTCACGACATAATGGTCCAGTTTTTGGATATTTCAAACGAGATTCGAGGAAGAGTAAATAATATGGATAGATCCAATGAATAAAGGCGATATAACTTCTACGAAACAACTCATAAGATGGAGTTTCATCAGTGTTAGGTAAAATTGAGGTGGGAATAAAACGCCAACGATATAATTACCAAATTTCTACCTACCATTTAGGACAGGTAGGGAAGCTCAAACAGAATAAAACTTCGAGCTTCTTCGTTGTTCAAGCCAGGGGATACGAGCAGAGATGCTTAGTAAATTAAAACTTCTCACTACAGACCCTTTTTATCGAATTCACCTCCTGAAGCCTATTGCTACTCCCTTTAGCGCTTTCTGGGCACTAATATTTTCGGGAGCTTCAGCTTCTCCGGCGAAGCGATACGGAGTGAATATCCCTCCGTCGAGTGTAGCATTGAAATACGATATTGAATTGACCAGCTAGCAGGATGCACACCATTTACACTCTCTTTAGTATATATCGATTACGCACAATTACATAGTTCCTATTAATTTACTGTATACATCAAAAGCGGGTCATTCAGAGCCCTTGACTGTCTCCAAACTCAATTTAAAAAAATGAAAATAAAGAAAAATCAAAACCTGGAAGTGTATGAGAAACTGCTGGCTTCATTTTTAGCTTATCTGATCGAAATAAATAGTATACTAAGAATTTTTTTTACTTTTTTTGCAATTTGAGTTGGTGTTTTCCTGCAACGTTCCTCATTCCCTGTTTATTCGTTAGAGACGAATATTTCAGCAATAAATGAAGCATTGAAGAATCGGTAAACAATTAGCAGTGCTCCAAGTTGTTTTCGACTTATTTCTATTGTTTACTACGGAATTTTTTGTTGTTTTCGACACGTACGCTACCGTGCTGGTGCTAAGTTGAGGGGAAAATACAACTCTGTGATGGAACTCAATCCCCTGCTTATGTTTTTAGTGCTCTAAGGAGAAACGCGGGTGCTTGGGATTCTTTCGAAGTCGAACGTTTAGCTCATGACTCAACGGTATCGTAATTGTTAGCCATGTTTGCGAAAGAATTTGACCGATTTGATCAGGCGGTTTGGCCTTTCTCAGCTAATTTGTTCAGAGAACGTTTGAAAAAAAATCAGGACTATTCGGAAAACCTCTACGACCTTAAGAAAATGATCACCTGTGGCGAAATGTTGTGGTCGTGAACTCGTACCAGAGTACCTTCAGACATCATGTGGAGCATAAACCGTGACATATTTGCTGGATGACATCTAAACTGCATTTATTCATGTCGATCAAACGATTCAAAACCTCTAGAACATTAGCTTGAAACAGAATATTCTGAAAAATTGAAAAAATGAGGGTGGAAGTTTCGTCTATAGTAAGGGTCAGATGGACCTCATTTTCTAGTTTTCATTTGCCTTTTGCTGATTACAAATGGCACGTACCCATTATCCAAATAGCTCAAAACCTTCTGAACTCCTAATTTTTAGATAAACAATAATCATAGAACTGTCATCCTTTAAATACGATTAATAAGGATGACCAGCTCATGGCTGAAGGAACATAACATAAAAGCAGCCAAGCATAGTAGGAATGCACAATAACAATGTAGTACAGAAAGATAAAAAAGAGTTGCAACAGCGAGTTCTATGGATAAATAGCCTTGTTTTCCTTCATATCTTTCTGATCTTGAGGTAGCGGTATCTTTGTTTTAGTGTGTGAATATTTAACTACGTAAACAACTTAACAAACATAACTACCTTTGCAGTTCAAGTGGCCTTGCTTCGTGATCCAATCTAAGGATTGTTCGCACTGGTTTACCATCGGCCTTGGTCGTCACCTAAATAATCAAACCTTATTCACCTTCACCTGCTTACCCATTTAAATAGCTATCAATTCCCCTGCTATGCTAGATTACTTGACCCATATATTTGATGGAAATAAATGAAAATCAAAAAATATTCGCATTTGTAAGTTGAAAAAACTGCAAGCCATTTTCAATGGCAATAATTTTCAGCCCTCAAAAACTCTGCATGTTCAGAACAAGTCAGCTGTTTTCTGATCACAAGCTGGAAGTGATTGAACCGGTAATCGTCAGAAATCCGGTGGCCTCATACTACCACTATATTTTGAAACACTTTTGCCTACCCCAAACTGCCGTTGTAAGGTTTTTTGATTGCGTTCAGTAAAGTTCATTATTGCCAAGGTTAAGGTTTTTGAATGGAAAAAGGGAAAGGGGAGATGGACGACTCAAAAGGTAATTGCTATGACAGCGCCTATTTCTATAGCAGCAGACATGTTCACATTCCTTACACGCTTTTAATGTGTAGGTTGAAGAGAAGTCGGAGAAATACCACGTGAGAAAAAACTTGCAAATTGGGCATTTTCAATTAATACTTTGATTACATATTTTACATTGCAGCGCACCATTCGTGCAAAAAAATAAATAAATCCTATACGAGGTCCTCGAGATGCAATCTAAACTTAAGAAAACAAAAGATCCCATTGAAAAAATATTTGAAAATTTCTTATCAGCCACCTCTCCAAGGCTTACTCGAAAGCGTATAAATGTATCTAACAGTCGTAGCATTTTTTTTCAAGGGGATCTGTTTCCTTACCTCCATCCACAATTCGAAGAGATTCGTATCCCGGCACGAAATCTTGAATTTGCTGAGTACGGTATCGATGACGGAACGGGTAGTACAATGAGTGGAGACACGGATTGTTTTGTAGTCTGTACATGCCTTCACGTTGCTTGTATAAACACGAAGAGTTCCCTGAAAATCAGGCAAATATTGATCGCCTTGGTGGGCATGACAAGCACTACATCTACTCAGTCCCGTCTGTTCAAGTATCGCTTAGCATCTAATTGGGATAATCTTCGGAATTTGCATAATCTTATTGTTGAACGGAGCCACACGAGAGAGCTAAATAAGAGTGGAGTACCTAAACGGATCCAAATTCTTACCGTAAGTTCATTATGGCCACTTCATTGAAATATACATTTTAGCTGCACATAGCTGTAGTATAAAGTGGATTACTGTAGGAACTTGATCCGCATCGATTTTTTGTGTCACAATGGGCGAAAATCTCAGGATTGAATAATCCTATCTAGTGAAATCGGATTTTCCCGCAGTGACTGCAGATATTCAACTATCATAAACTGAGAGCTAAAGTATGAACTCACCCAGTCTCCATCGGAATTCGCACTATCTACTGAGTTCAATGATGCCAATGAGTTACTTCGGCTAGTTAATGTAGTATCATGAGTAGACGACGACGGACTACCGTATGCAGAGGGTCTGTTGCTACTGCTAGTCCTGACTTGATATTTAAGCATCCTGCAAATACGATAATTATATTTCATACAAACTGTCTGGCAACGACAAGTGATCGACGCAGGATAATAAAAGCAATGCTTCCGACGAAGCTTCTCTAAGAGAGATTCATGCTATACCAGAAGTGTCAAGGAAATCATCATTAAAGCTACTTGTTGAAACCGTAAAACTAAACAAATCATCATTTCAAATGGAAACTTTCACAAAAAAACGGTCCACGATGTAAAAAAGATCGAAATCCAGAAGAAAAAACACCAAAACTCTAGACCATTAACAGCAATAGCAGTAGGAAATTGAGCTATCCAAAAAACAAAGCAAAACTCAGGATGGAAATGAAACGAGTAAATCAAAACAGACTGCAAGATCGAACAGATCGAGGACAAAATGTATAAGGAAAAAGAAGTAGCGAGCCTGTCGCAAGGGAATGAATTCAAAACGCAACCTAGAAACGAACACTTCTTCTTAAGTGGAAACCAGAATATAATATAGAATATAAAATAATAATAACAGCATATAAAGAAATCTTGGCAAAAACATTCACTGAGGTGATACTGCTGAAGGGGCAGAGGAACACCCACAAAAACAGCTTGATGAACAGACTGAAGAATATGCAGAAGTAAGCTGTTAAAAGGAAAAAAAGCAAAAAGTCGAAGAGAGCTGATCATGAGCTATTTCCTAGAAAACTGATTTTATAGAAAAATGAATAAACGAAGAGGAATTATGTGAGGAAGTAAAAAAATCGAAATATCGCTCTTGAAAAAGTAATTGGGCAGCCAAGGCCATCGAAAAGTGAGAATTCCCATGGAAACCGGGGTTATGTAAGAAAACCGTGTATTGAAAGCGGTGATAGAAATTTTATAAGAGAAGGGATTGCAATCAGAAATCCTTTTGGAACGAGAAATTCTTACAAAAGCACCAATTCAATTTTCCGACGGTAAACACCTGAATGGCGTAATCAAAATCTCACATCACTGAAGGTTTTTTCAGTGAATGTGATAGCGAGAGCCATAAAACCAGCGCTTATCGTACAACGATTCGGCCATAAACAAGATTTTAACGACGAAAATCTCACACCTTTCCAAATTCAAGAAAACGTGGAATTCTTACAGTTTTTCAGATTTTTATTGAATTTTCTAGCAATCATTTTATTATAAATACTTTTTGGTCAGGAGTTATGTAAGAAAAGCTTTGAAACGAAAAACGGAACCAAACCACCTATTTTTGCTCTATTATTTTAATACTATCATATTAACATAGATTGAATATTTTCGGATAAAGGTTCCTTCCACAAAAAAAAGGCCGGTAACCTCAAAGAAAGGCAATCTGCGCAACAAATTATCGCTGATTCGAGCAAATTAACTGAAATGGGTATCATCAAAGCCTAGAATCTGACACTCTCAGAAATTAAATAAAATCTGCTTGGAAGAATCAAATTTTTTAAAGATTTAGTGGAGAACTCCAGGTGAATGAGTCGTAGACAGGCAGTATGAACAAATCACAGAGCTAATGGTAAGGAAACAAAGCAGAACAGCTGCGTACGAATGAGAATATCGCAACGTTAGTCGGTCAAAGGGCTAGAAATTTGAGCTCTGTCAAGTCATAAAGTCAGAAAACATAGAAAAGCCTGGATGAGAAACAACCAAGTATGTACAATCCTGAAAGAATTAAATACGGTGCTGAAGATTCTTCAAAAAGCTAGCGAAAAAAAATCTCTTGAATGAACGGAAATTTCAGGATTTCGAGTTCTCTAGGATGGGAGAAGGATTGAAAAAGAGAAGATACTGCAGAAGATGTGAAACTTGTTTAGATAAGGGAATCTCTTACAGATTGCTAGATTGCCTGTTCGATAACACGGCGCAATTTGGAGAGATTTACTGGAATTTCAGGTCCATCATATTTTTTGCCGTCGTTGAAAGTAACTAAGAATTGTTCAGAGAAGAAAAAGAGATCATTATGAGATTGAGGAATGCCAGTTGAGAACTGCCAAGTCGGACAGCAGATCTTACCAGGCGCCATCCACCTGCCGCAGATGGTCGGAACTTGGTCACGCAAGCGATGATACGTCAACAAAATTCACGATAGTGGATTCCCATCAAAGACCCCTGTGGTGGTAGTTCGCGTGGTCCTTGAGTCCGACCAATGCGCTCAAGGTGATCCAACAGGGTCAACAATGTGTAGACGATACCGACTGCCACCGAACTGGGTCCACCCCTAGCGTCGGCGCTCCGCCCACCAACGGAAAGCACTCTATTTCATTTTCAAATGATATATGGCTTGGTTTTCTATATCGTTCTATGGTAATACGATGCTTACCCCGAAGAGGAGTTTGAAGAAGTCTTAAAAACAAGCTTTCAAGAAAATGGCATCGGATTACTTCAGAGAGCAAGCTAAAAGCTCTGACAGACAAAAAAGTCAAATCGAATTCTGCTACAGCTTTAGAGTTCTGACATTGTAAGAAAACGAACAGAGAAAATTCAAATACGAAGTCAACGAGCAAATATCGTCAAAGTATACTTCTGAAATAGTAAAAATTCTGTCAAGTTTCAGTTTAACTTCACAAACATTTTATCGGGTACAAATGATCTACAAGGTGTAGGTCATTTACACTCTAGGAATTGTTTAGCTTTCGGTTGGTACAGGAAGGTTTTGACTAACAGCTCAAATCACAGTCCAGTTTAGGAATAAGCTGCATGTGGTTGCGCGTAGCAACGACTGGACGATTTATTCCATCATTTGCGACAATTACATTGGAAAAACTCCTCCAAAAAGTATAAGAACGGAAACGGTTCCGCACTTCATAGTTTCCCGTTATACGCATAAGACCAGATATTTTTAAACCAATTAGTCATAGTCTCTCTAAAGATGGATGACACGGTCGGCCATGATGAGCCAGAATGAGATCTTCTTGATGGTCTTTCATGGTAAGGTAACTAGGAACCCTTCTCCCAGAAGTAAGATGAACAATGCCAATGAAAATTGAACTCAGAAAGGGAACTGTGAAAACTTCTCGAAGAAGAACATAGACGAAAACCCGACCAAAAACTAAAAGTACGCAATCGTGGACGAGTTTCCACTGCCGCTATACGTGTCGAAATCGTCTAATTCCCTTAATAGGTTGATTCACAGGAGAATCATTACACACATCGAGTTCACGATGGATCAAGAGCGTGTTTTTCTGTAGCGATCACCTAATAAGGTTTACATAACGGCGAGCTTACAACTAAAGAAAACTAATTCAAATTAGCCCTGCAGAAGCCTACATGACCTTCTTTACGAAAGATCGACCTGTTCTCAAAGCCATTCGCAATATGTGAAGCAGATTACACTTGACATGCTTTTCTCGTTCTTCACATGACCGACATGGAGGAGACGGAAAGTGGAGTCGTTCGCTAAAACCTATAAGAAACCAGGGGCGGAAATTAGACTTTTGGACTGCCATGTTTTGGAATTCTACAACGCGAGGAAAAGAAACCACTTGTGATGAATCGGAACGAAAACGAATCAACGGGATGCATGACGAACGTAACTTTTGCGGCCGAATGTTTTCAGCTGAACAGACGAAACATGATCGGCTCCTCCTTTAAAAAACATCACCGATTCTCATGACACCCTTTCCAGATCTAAACCGATTACTGCAAACAAATGTACGTATAGCAGAAACCTGGTGACAAAAAATCCCAAATCTATAAGACAATACGGATGGAATTTGGTAATTTACAGGAAGTAATTGTTCGGCAACTGAGTTTGAAGCACGAAATATTGAATCAAGGTATCAAGGCCATTCACTAAGGGGAACGGGCAGAGTTGTTTGTCGATACGGCCCACCATTTTGTCAGTTTCACGAAAACAAAAAAAAACGGTGTTGAAGGAGATTTTCTCCGAAGTCTGAGCATGAGACAACAGCTTGATTTTCATGATCCCACCCATTCAAGTACATTGAAAATCTCCTAGTGTTGTCTGAGCTGGAGTTCACTGATCACAGAAATTATTTTACATGCTGGACTTCTAAGCTTAAGAGCATACTGATACAGGTATTCAAAACAAGCATGGAAGCCGCTTTGGCACCTCAGATGTAGTATTGAAAAAGCCAAAAAGTCATATTTATCTTCTAAACCTAGAAATTACAGTCAAGCCGACTAACATAAGGCAAGAGAGGCAGTAAAGAAATAGCTGGTTTATTCGACGCAACGGAGAGTGGTTTAATCGAAAATCTACTTGGAAATCAAGAGAATTCATTAGGCTCCATTAGACTTGATATTTTCATAGAAACCCCGATCCATTCCACTGGATTACCTTCATTTACTATGTAATTGAAAGGAGTCATTAAGCAAAGCAACAACGCGCCAATCACCATTCAAGACTGGAAAATCTAAATTTTTCAAACACTTTCGTTGGTAAAATTTTCAAGAAAATTCTCTGAACAGTTCCAGGAAGCGATGGGTTGCTATGAACAAATGATGGGCCTTGGCGATCATGGGTTAGCTTTTTTGGGTTCTTGTGAGTGAGCCCTCCATTCTGATTCAAACTGAGGGGCTGAATGCTTCAATCGCTTACATCCTCGCTAAGTTCCCATTTTCCTAAGCATATACATCCAGAATTATGAATGATCGATTGTTCCGTTTCAGAGCATGAAAAACTCAGATTGAATTGGCTGAAGCTGGTGTCTTACTATAGCACTGTAGGTATCTACTGAAAAGGAACTACCTCTGTTATGACATAGCGAACAAAGCTAGTGGCAGCTGAAACTAATAAATCATAGGGATGAACACTGCTTTGAACCTGCCAGAAAATTCGATCAACATGACAACAGTAAGAAATCAGAAATAAATGAAAGAAAATGAAATGAAAATAAAACGCAAACACTACAGTAAGGGGAAAGACAGTAATACGTGAAAAACAAAGCAAAAGTGTTTACTGCTAAATGGGACCCATTTTTACACAATCCCAACTCATGTATTCAAGGGGTAAATATTAAAATACGAAATTAGAACAGGAGTAAAAG